GGGGCACTGGAGGTCCAGGAAGCGCACCCCACTTAGCATCACTAATCCCAAGGAGATTCCACTAGCGGAGAGCTGTCCCTTTTGCAGCAAGAGGGGGTACACCTTTCCAGAGAAAGTGGAGTGGTAAGACAGGAAGTCAGAGGCTACTGAGATGCGGAAGACCAGGGAGGACTTCCGTGGGGGAAGGAAGGCATGCTTCGCCTTCACTCAGCTGGTTGTCACTTCCCAAGGGCACAGCTTCTGATTGGCCAGTCGAGTCCCAGCTCCATCCCAGGAGCACAAGTCTAACTCTTAGACATGCCTGCTTTTCTGCCGCAATGCCCGGAGAACAGAAGTTCTTATCAGAGGTCTCCCTGGCACTTGGCAAACACGATGTTGTACCTTTTAAACAAATAATTCATTAGGTAATTAAATTCAAGTGAGATTACTCTAATTAAATACACACTGCTGTTGAATAATAATTTCTATTGGCCTAGTTAAAGATGAACCATCTCTTATTCCTGACCAAAAAGAAAACAGAAAGAAAGAGAGAAAGAAAGAAAGAAAGAAAGAAAGAAAGAAAGAAAGAAAGAAAGAAAGAAAGAACGAGGCTTTATTTAAGAATCCCCCCATGGCAGTAGAACCGGAATTAAATGCTCTCCGCAGAATCTTTTCAAGAAAGAAAAGCTGGCCAGCCCGGGAGGGGCTGTCAGAGGGAGTGGGTGCTGCTCGGTTAGTTAGTGGGAAGTCACCCTGGGGCTGGGCTGTGGGGCAGGACTAGTGTCCTTTGCGCCCAAAGGACCCCAGGACTTTAGGGGACACGGGGGCCGCAGCCCCCACCCGCCCCCACCGCGTGCGTGTGCTCTGCCCAGCTCTCTGATGCTTGGGAGCAGCTGCCTTCCCGCGCTCACTCTCCGGGCCGGCGCTTTGATCTGCAGCTCCGGCTGTGGAGAGCTGACAGTCGCTGCGTGGCAGCCGGGCTTTCATTTGTCAGACACGCGTTTGCTGGTGTACGGAGCAGGCGGCGACACCTGTACTGCAAGAATTTACATCGCCTTGCTCCGGGATGGCATTGATTTGGGACGGGTGAAATACAAACACAAACTAATTAAAAACTGCATAATGGAGCCCTACAGGAACACCGCAGAAAACAAATAAATACAAGCGCAGCTGGCGCGGCGATTGTGCCTCTGCCCCCGAGCTACCGTCTGGTGACATCAAATTATAAACCCTGAAAACGCTCGCGCCATTGCCGTTGATCCTGTCGGAGGCATAATGGGGATGATCTGGTTAATTAAGGAGAGATTTATAAAATATTTACGTGTGTGCACACGCATGTAATTCGCTTCCTCCAACACACGGGGACGGCGACTTCGTGGTCCTCCAGGCTGCCGAGACTACCGGTGTGGGGGTAGGAGGGAAGCAGGTTGCTTTGGAGACTCTGGGACCGGACCCGCCTACTGCCAGTGAGCGGGGCAGCACCGCCCCATCCAGTCCAAGCAAGCGCCAGCTTGGTGACCGGCCTGGGTCGTCCTGTGCCTTAGATCCGGGGGCCCTGGGGATACCCTCAGGTGCTTCCCGGATTCACAAGCGGTGACTCCAGCGGTGCGCAGAACAACTGGAAGAGCAGAACTCAGGGGTGCAGGCCGAGGGTCCACCCAGAAAGTCCCCTCCCACACCTGGACTGTAGCGCACACTCCTGAGAGGGTCTCCTGGGACACCGCTGACCACCTGATACTCATTCACCTCCTGGTCCCCAGCAGGGTGACACCCCAGCTCCTCTGCAGAAAGCTGCGGTGTCCTAATAAACGTTAACCAGAATCATAAATCAGGCTGAAGACAAGGCTGGGGTGCGCGAGGTGCAATGCACACCACTCGTGGAGCATCGTGCAAAAGACAGGCAGCCAGGGCCACAGCTCTCCCGCTGGATCCCCTAAATGTCCCAGGACTCGGGCCGCAGCCTTCTCTTCCGCGTCAGAGCCCTCTGGAAAGCGGAGCCTTGGAATCCGTGGAGAATTATTTGCGGAAGGCGAAACCTGAGGACGCCTCTGCGCTCACCTCATCCCAGCCTTCTTGGAGAGGCCCTAGGGGCTAGCATGCGCCATCTTAGGGGTGGGAGAGGAAAAGCAACCCTCCCTGAGACCTCTGGAAAACCGCAGCTCGCTCTCAGGACAACGCCTTCTGAGGGGCCTGGAAACTACATCGAGACTTAAAATCAATCAGAAAACAGGCCGGGTTCCTAGCGCCCTCGCGCAGCTCGTGAGCACAGACGAAAGCCCCAGTCTCCTCAGCGCAGGGTTCACGCTCCAGTCCAAGAACATCGCAGGGCGGAGCTCGGACCCACGGTGCAACGACCCCCTAGGACAAGTTTCTTGGCTCCGTCTGCCCTAGGCGCGGAAGCTCCGCTCAGCAATGCTTGCAGTGGGTTAGGGGAAGAGGCCAAGCTGCTGAGGCCCAAGCTTGCCCGAGCTCCCAGGGTCCCCACCGCCCTGCATGACTTTTCCTCCCACACACAACTGGGATTTGCGGGCCCCTCCTCCTTGCCCCTTGCCCCTTAGGCCCCTGGAGGCCAGGCAAAGGGTGAGTTCTGCTCCATCCCCTTGGAGAAAGCTCCTGACCCTCTTAAAAGGACTTTCCAGCCAGGCTTAAGGCTCCATAAGCCCTTCTCCCGCCCACACAACAGGAGCCTTGGGGCTCTGGCCCTGCTTAACCATGTGATGCTCATTGCCGGGCTGCTGGGAAACTCGGGACATGGAGTCCACTTTGTGCTCTGTGCTGCTGGCGCCCCCCGCATGGGAGGACGTGGAGGCAATCACCCCCCTCTCTAACTCCCCCCTCATATTTCAGGGGTGGGAGACTAGCAGGTGTAGAGCCCCAACCTCTGGTCCCAGTCATAGAATGCGCCCTAATCTGCAGCCCTGTGCCCTCTGCAAACTCTCAGGCTCACCAGGGCAGCCAGCAGTCATACTTGTACTTGTGCCCATTCCTTGGAACCAGATGGGTCTCATAGGGACCCTCAAGCCCAGGCCTTGCTGACTTCTTCCAGAGGCATGCCCCCATGGCGGGGATACACGGAAGCACTGGAGAGTCAAGGCAAAGTCCTCTGCCCCTGTCCAAGCCTGAGAGGTCCTTCTTGCCCAGCCTGCAGCTGGGTAGGAGAGCCCAGTTTTGCAGATGGTGTTGGACAGGAGGTGGGAGGAGGTAACCAGCACTTGCCACTCAATCTGACACTGATTCATCTTGATAGTCCTCCTGTCCTGAAGACCACCCTAAAGGGCTTATCTCACCTGTATTTATTTACCTGTCATCTTGAAATACAACACAGATGTTTGCTTAGCAGAACAAGGAGGGACAACCCCACTTCACCTATGGAGCTGGGGTTTTCTGGGGTATAGGGGAGACAGAGAGAAAGCAGGTTGAGGACCAGGATGAATTAGCAGTCAGGGACACCCCCCCCCCCGCTGGTGCAGGCTCAGTGCCACTCTTTGCTACCCTGGATCTGTGTCAGAGCAGGTGAAGGTCCTGGCACTGGCAGGGGGTGGGTCCAGCCTGGCAAGGACTGGGGGAGGGGCATGCACAGGAAGAAGATCTGATTCAGGCAGAGAAATGAAGCTGGTGATTTCAGAGCTGGTAATCAGTAATTACTATTATGGGCCTCATTGTTGCTAATTATAGGAGAGAGTTCTGGTGTCCTCAGGCCCCAACACCAACACTTCTTGGTGTTGCAAATTTTCTAGGCCTGGAGGATCCTCACAGCTGCAGGGGTAAGGAGGTGCGGGGCTGGTATCAGGGGTCCTCCCATTCTGGTCAGCAGTCATAGGACAAGGCTGACTGGTGACTCAGGACGGAGCTTCACCCTGATGGCCAGAACCGAACTGGCCTTAGTCAAAGCCCACTTGGCAGGGCAGTGTGAGGCTGAGGCTGCTTGAAGCCCGAGTGCTGATGCCAAGGAGTAGCAGTGTCTCTGCCAGAGGCCTCAGAGTGGTGGTGGTGGGGCACCCGGAGTCACTCCTGTTCCTCATACCTCCAAGGGGCCTGTGGAGTCCTCTTGGGAAACAGCAGGCCCGAGAAGAGGACACTGTCTTGGCGTCTGCCAGGGCAGCTTGGCCACTTAAGGTTCCTGCAAGTGCCTTCAACTTCCTCCTCAGGATGGGCTGGGGGTGGAGCACAGTGGCCAAGGGAAGAAACGGGCGTCCTAGGGGAAAGAGGAGGGCTCCAGTGCCTTACACAATTTCACATCCTGGCTCTGCACCTCAAGGGGCAAGAGAGCCCCAGGCCACCCTAGCTGCCCAGAGCTGAACCGAGTGGGGGACAGTTCTCTAAGGTCGACCCCCACCTCTCCTCAGCCCCAGAACACACCGAAACGACTGTCACCGACTCCCTCTCGCAGTGACTTCTCTCAGTTTGTACGACGAGAAGTCCTCAGACCTTGTCCACCTTCCTCGTCTCCAGTGCACGCGGAAGGCCGAGGCCTGAAGAGCTGGTGATGGGTGCGGGGCCACAGAACACGCACTGCGCGTTGGAGCTGTCGCCTCCGCCAGCCGGTCTGCTGTGTCCCGAAGAGAGGGTGCTGAGGGGGTCCCAGGAAGTTCAGTGGCGCGGCCCCGAGAACGAAAAACCCTGACCGCCCTGCCGTTCTCTGGCTCGGCCCCGCCGCCAGAGCGGTGGAAAAGCAGCGGGCGAGTCGAGCAGACGCAGAGGGGGACACCCCTTGGCTTCAGCCCGGGCGTCCAAAGCTGTCAGACGGCGCGGCGCTGGCTGGGCGGCGGAAGCGGTGGCCGCGCGCGGCACCACGTGCTCCGGGAGGGGCGGCGCGGCGCGAGGG